TGGGGGTCATTTTATGTCTCTAGAGGTTAAGAGGAGCTTTTTATGTTACCAAGGAGCTTCCTAACTTTATTAAGGGCTCCTTAAATTTTCATGTGGGTCTTTTGTTTGCTTTACCTTCCAAAAGTAAAACCTTTAAGTCACCATGTCACAGTGAAAATGTTCATTTGTCTTTACTACATATACTATCCAACACTTTGCAGGGTGATTTTTTAATTTCGGCTCAATATAACTTCATAATTGATTTGATAGGTGCATTATAAATAATGTACATATCCAGCTTAGGTCATATTAATACCTCGGAGAATAGAGCCTGAAGGATATTCTAAACATTTTTGATGATCTGAGAATTAAATATTATGCCCCCTTTAAAAAAGAGGGGGCATATATTTTATTTGATTGTTGGTCTGTCTATCTTTTCGCCGGGAGACCACATGGTTTCCGCTGATTATCTTAAAAACTTATTATCACAAAGGCTTCATATTTCATATACTGATTGGTCATAACTATTGATTTTGGGGTCACTAGGTCAAAGATAAATTTCAGTGGCCTTAAATGTAAGAATGGTTTCCACTCATTATCAAGAAAATTATTCATCTCAAAGAATTCATAATTACAGTATTATATATGTTGATAAGTCATATGTACTAGATGACCCCTATTGATTTTGGGGTGACTAGTTTGAGGGTCTGGGTTACAGGGGGCCTTTCATGTCAGAATGGTTTCCGCTCATTATCTTGAAAACTATTTATCACTAAGTCTTTATATTTCTGCTTATACTCTTGACACAAATTAGTAACCAATTTTTTAGATTTCACATATTGATAACTAGAAAATGATCCCTCTTGATTTTAGGTCTTTAGGTTAAAGGTCAAGGTCACAGAGTCTTTAAATCAATCTGTCTGTCCATTGGTAGTAGATAGCATGGTTTTCGCTGATTATGTTTAAAGCTTTTATCACTAAGTTTTCATATTTTACATACTGTTTGGTCATAACTAGAAAAATGACTCCTATTGATTTCGAGTCCCGTGGTCAAAGGTAAAGGTCACAGAGGCCTGGAATGTCTAACAGGGTTCCGCTCATTGTCCTTAAAGCTATTTATCACAAAATTTTCGTATTTCACATATTGATTTGTCATATGTAGTAGATAACCCCTGTTGATTTTTGGCTCACTTGTTCAAAGTTAAAGGTCACAGGGGCCTTAAATGTCAATGGTTTCCGCTTATTATGTTGTAAAATATTAATCACTAAGTCTTTATTTTTCACATATTGATTGGTTATAACTAGTAGATGGCCCCTATTGATTTTTGGTTCTTAAGCTCAAAGGTCAGGGTCATAGGGCATTAAATGTCAGAATGTGTTCCACTCATTATCTTCAAAACTACTTGTTAGCAAGTGTTTGTGTTTCCCATTTTTGTGTCGCCTCTACGGAGTAGTGGCGACATATAGGGATCACTTGTCCGTCTGTCCGTCTGTCTGTCTGTCTGTCTGTCCATCCGTCCGTCACAAAACTTGTCCCGACTACTCCTCATAAACTACTGGTGCAATTTCATCCAAACTTTACAGGAATGATCAGTACCAAGTCTAGTTGTGCATATTGTCAGCATTTTCCGGTTCAATGATTTTTGTCAGAGTTATGGCCCTTTAATAATTTTTCATTTAAAAGTTTGTCCGGACTACTTCTCTTATACCACTAATGCAATTTCAATGAAACTTTACAGGATTGATCTGTAGCTCAAGTCCTTGTGCATATTACAAGGGTTTTCCGGTTGAATGATTATTGGCCGAGTTATGGCCCTTTGATAAAAAGGTTTCTTTTTCTGTGTGTTGCCAGATACACAAAAGCTTGTCCGGACTACTCCTCATAAACTACAGGTGCAATTTCATCCAAACTTTACAGGAATGATCAGTACCAAGTATAGTTGTGCATATTGTCAGCATTTTCCGGTTCAATGATTTTTGTTTGAGTTATGGCCCTTTAATAAATTTTATTTTTAAAGTTTGTCCGGACTACTTCTCTTATACCACTAATGCAATTTCAATGAAACTTAAAAGGATTGATCTGTAGCTCAAGTCCTTGCGAATATTGCACGGGTTTTCCGGTTGAATGATTTTTGGCTGAGTTATGGCCCTTTGATAAAAAGGTGTTTTTTTTCTGTGTGTTGCCAGATACGCAAAAGCTTGTCCGGACTACTCCTCATAAACTACTGGTGCAATTTTATCCAAACTTTACAGGAATGATCAGTACCAAGTCTAGTTGTGCACTGTCCGTCTGTCTGTCTGTCCGTCTGTCACAAAATTTGTCCCAACATGAAATTGGCCATCATGAGGCGACACATGTGATTACTGATCGCTCTTGTAATTGATCAACATTAGTACATGATCCATTTTTGAGATCACTTCTTCAAACGTCAAGGTCCCAATAACCATGAATGTTAAAATAATTACTGCTTATACTCTTGACACAAATTAGTTACCAATTCTTCACATTTTACATATTGATTGGTCATAACTAGGAGATGACCTTTATTGTTTTTATAGTCAGTAGGTCAAAGTCAAGCTAAAGATAACAGTTACCTCAAATATAAAAATGGTTTCCGATTAATAACTATTGGACGACAAGTCTTACAAATGTCCAAGTTAGTCTGATTATTAGTCATGACCAGTATATGGCTTTAATAGATTAAGAGGCGACTTGGTCATGGGTCAAGGTTATATTTTGGTCATTATTTTTCTTTTTCCATGACTAAACACTTCCAGATACCAATTTATGGCATGTCTCTATAACAAGATTACCAACAGTATGAGTAAGGGGCTCGTAGGGGGGGGGGGAGATGTGTCGTTCGTGATTTTTTGTTCTTATATACTTCAAAATAAAGATATTCTTAAGGTGTACTTTGCAAACTCTGCTATTTTCTAAAAGTGTATATTGTTATCTCCGTTGAATGACTCTCTTTAGAGTAATGATATCTTATCAACAACAGTATTATTTCTTGTCAAAGTAAGAGCCACATCAATGTAAACCTCTCTGTAGATCAACAGCTCTCGGTAACAACCAGTCTTTTTCTTCCAAACAGATTTCTTTACCATCAATTGTACTGTACCTTTTTCCATGGCATAAAGCTTCAAAATCTTCAACCGGTTTAACTGGAGGGGGGACTTGAGGTTTACCCTGTCTGTTCATCCGTCTGTCTGTCAGTCAGTCCGTGCACAAAACTAGATCCAGTGATAACACAAAATGTACAAAAATATTGTTATGAACCTTAAAATATGTATGGATAGATGCCTGGAGAATATGCATGCCTTCCTATGTGGAAAAAATTGTTGTTATGTCAACAAATAAACTTAAAATATGGCAAATATAACACAGAAACTGGATCTCGTGATATCGGAAAAAGTACTGAAAAGAAATAAATGGGTAGATGACACTCTGGAAATAATCACTTTTTTATATTCTTTTTTTAAAAAACGGGTTGCTATGGGAAAAATAAGCTTAAAATATAGCAACTAAAACAATATTTGTGATAACTTAAAACATACTGAAAATATTTTTATAAAACCTAAAATATTGATAAATGACAGTATAGAAATTATGCACATCATTTAAAGTTTGATTCTAGTAGTATATTGAGAGTTGTCCTACTCGCCTAAAGAGGCAAGCCGCGTCGAGATTTCTGATTGAAGTTTTTATGTTTATAGTAAAGTCTTTTTCACTATAACTTTATTTCTCATGGTATTTACTTCAAATTTTAATTATATATATGTTTCTGATTATCAACCACATTATATGTGACAAGGTTCACAACTCTTGCACCAAAATTATCAGAATTACCACCCTTGAACTTAGGCTTTTCATGAAGAAATATTTTTATTATCATAACTTCTTTATATTTAATATAGCTACTTCGAACTTCACATATATGTTTTTTTATCATCACTCACACATAAGGTGGTAAGGTTCACAATTCTAGCATCTATATTATTAGAATTGTCATCCTTGAACTTAAGACTTTTCATGGAAATGTTTTTCATAATTTATTATAATTTTTTTCTTTCTAATGATATCTACTTCAAATTCCAAGTATATGTTCCTTATTATCACTTAAATCATTTGTTAGAAGATTAAGTACATTGGCTTGATTTTTTTCTAGAATTATGTAACCCTTGAATTTTTTCTAGAAATTATAATTTTCACTCATAGTTTTTCAATTCTTTAAGGGTTTACTTCAAACTTCCACCTCCCACATTATTAAAAAATGACAAGGATTATTAATCTTGCGTCAATATTTCGAGAATTCTCTCCCCCTTAAACTTTGACTTTTCCTTATTTAATTTATAACTTTCATAGTTTTTCATGGATTAATTCAAATTTAAAATATTTGTTTATTGTCAACACCTGCATTATATGATTATATGTGATTAGATTTATCAGTCTAGCACCTTGGTTTTCATGATTACATTCATTTTGAGCTTTGAATTATTTAAAAATTGTTATATATTTTACTTCTTTGTTACTATAAATGGTGATGTTTTTTCACGTTTTTTCCTTTGCTACTATTAATTGTATCTACTAAAAACCTACTTAAAACTTTATATAATTGTTCATTTTCATCAATCACATCATGTATGACAATGCATATAAGTTTATAATCTTTATTTCAAAAGTAATCTCCTTGTGAGTTTAAGAATTTTGCTTCCAAAAATGTTATATTCTGTGACAACTGGCGATGTTTAAAGATTAACCCTTTGTCTGTCCTGTCTTTCCATACCTAAAACTGTTTGTTAGATCTCTACTAAAAAACTTTGAACTTTTCCAACAAATTTACTTATGATAGAGACAAGTTTAAACATTACTTAAACATATTCATCCTGAGAAAATTAGAACTTTTGATAATCTGTTGTATAAACATAATTTCCTTATTAGCCAGGGAAACTTAACACATTGTTATCATACAGACAAACTTAGAACATAAGTTTAAGTTCATTCATGTCTTCTGCAATGTGATTATTGAATGACCATGTCCCTTCAGAGTGTTGCTGGTGTTGTAACCGGTAGGGGACTTTTGTATTGCTTGCAATATTTTGATAATTGCTTGTTCGTCAATTGTTATCCAGTGATTGATGACGTGTTAGGAAAAGAACAAACACTCAGTAAACAGCTACTTGATGTAAAGAGATATCAGGAATGCCTTGGTCGTCCCGAGGGAGAAGTAGCAGAGAGAGTATTACGCCTTCCTGAAGACCTTGTTCTTAAAAATGTTGATGCCCAAAAATTAAAGTTTTTTAAACATTCCAATGCTAATCGTATGGCAATACAAACACAACTTGACTCTTGTCATGCTACAATTGTTTGGCCAGAAGAAGGTGGAGAAGTTATTTTAAAATGCACATTGACACATGAGGTCAAAGACTGCTTCAAATTAATAAAAACATGGAAAAACACAGCAGAGAAAAATTTTGAAGACATTATGAAACTTATCATAGTGAAAAAGGTGCAGATATTGCAGGATATATGGGGGAAGGTGATGGAGGAACTGCAGAAGTTCAATATAGAAAATCCTGAAGCAGTTGCTATATTTGTAAATAAGAATGAAGGTGTTATAACAGTGGCCGGAAATAAGAAAGTAGCTGAAGATCTTTCAACAAAAATTGAACATATGACAAATGAAGTTATGGCGGAAGTAGAAAAAGAGTGTAAAGAAATAAAAGAAACCATCACAACCTTGAAAAATATTGAAACAAGAATGCTTTTAGCTGATAAATTTCCTACAGAAATGGAAAAACTTTTCCCGGACCTGAAAGTTAAGATGAATCAGAACAAAAATGAAATTCTCTTTGAAGGGCCACTAGGGCAGGTACGAGATGCTAAATTGAAGATGTATGAATTGAGGACCGGTTTCGCTATAGATCGCTCTGAGAAAATATCAGAACTTGCCGCAGGATTGTTAGTACTTAAGCAGACCAAAGAACATGTGGTAAAAAAACTTAAAGCATCTCGTGTCACAGCAGTTTGGGACACTGTTGAGGGATATTTAGAAGTATACTGCACGTCCCAAGATCAGATCCAGCTTTGTGTTGATGTCATTCGAACATCTGTTATTGAACATACCGTACCCTTAAGAAAAGCTGCAAAAACTGTGGTTAACTCTGAAAAGTGGCAAACTAAAGTTGATGAATTGCATGGATACCATCCAGGAAAATGTATGATAAAAGTTTCTGAGGATTCTTGTAAAGTTCAGATTTGTGCAACAGACGACATAGCAAAGGAGATTTTAGATAATGTTAAAATTTTCCTATGTCAAAACACAGTCGTTGAAGCCAAAGTTCCGTGCACAAAAAATGTCCATCGTCTGATTGAGAGGCATCACAAAAACGAAATTTCAAACATAGCTAAGGGTTTGACAAATTACAATGTACAGATATCTTCAGTTGCAGAATATGGGGGGTTTGAAGTTTGTGGGACTGAAGATGGCCTTCATCAAGCTTTGCAACAACTTCAACAACTACTACAGAAAGTAAAACAGAAAGAACATATTATGACTAAACCTGGTTTAAGTAAGCACATGCAAACACCAAAAGGAAAAGACAACCTTAATACCATCGAGAGTATGCATCACTGTGTAGTGGCAGTGAAAGGTGATTATGATGAGGACGAAATAAATGACAATCCATATGAGAGCGTTCCTATAGTTAGTGATGTCAGGGTTAACATTGGAGTAAAAGGAGTGAAGATTGTGGCCTACAGTAAAGTGTATGATTGTAGAAATGTATATACGATGCAGGGGGATATGACAGAACTAACTGTGGATATGATAGTGAATTCAGCAGATGATAAACTTAGCTTGACTGGAGAGTTAGGAAATGCTATTGTCAAGAAAGGTTGGTTTTATATTTCAATATATATTTTAGATTTTTATAGATATTCAGAAAGTGTTGTCACATATGACTTACACTTAAAGGTGAATGGAAGGTCTGTTATACCAAAACTTTAATTTTGTTGTCAGGTATGGATTTCACTTTAAAGTGAAAAAGGTTCATAATTGAAAATCTGTGATGCTGAAAATGTTAATGATACTACGTCTACATATAGTATTTAGTATCTTAGACAAAAACAAAAAGCAAACAAATTATATATATGAATTTTGAGTGGTAAATGATCCAATTTGAAATATTGAAATGATCAATTCTTGTGGTTTAATCAATACATGTATTTGATACACCTATGGAAATTTGCCTTTTGTAGACCAATCAACTTTAAAAGGTAGTTACTGTAGAGAAATGAAACATATGTAAGATATTTTCCTAGAGAGTTCATTTAATAGATAGGAATAGCAAGGAGTTTAATCAAAAAGTAATTGTAGGAGATTTGCTCCCTTGTGAATAAATTTCATGTGAAATTTTTCAGCCCAGTGTCATAAGATATTAAACAAGTTTCAATGGTGAAAGAGTGAATAAGTTGCTTAAGAATTACATTTTCCTAGTTCATTTTAATTAAATATGCCAATATGCGAATTTAAAGAAACTGTAGGGCCTGCCTAAGATGTACAACTTTGATTTAGGTCTCCAAACATAGAAAATGTACTACTATATTATATATATATCCTACTAACCACAGCTGTTTTATTAAAGAAATATAGAAACAAAGTTGAGTCAGACAGTATTTGTAAAATGCTTTATAAAAGGCCTACATGATTGCTTTTTTTCTCTAAATCACAGGTGGTAAGAATATCCAAAAAGAATGTGCTGCCTATATAAGAGAGAATGATAGGTTAGATGACGGCGATGCATTTGTTAGTACTGCTGGATCGCTTAAGGCAAATGCTATTGTACATGTAAGAGGACCGGTTTGGCGTGGCGGCATGAAGCAGGAAGATGAGATGCTAAAAGAAGCTGTATTTAAATGCCTACAGCAGGCTTCTACTAGAGATCTGACATCAGTTGCCATACCCGCCTTAAGTTGTGGCACATACGGGTGAGAATCTGTTTAACTTTTTATTAATTAACAATTTATTACATCAACATCCATACTGAAAATATACTGGTTACAGACCTTTTAACTTATTTAACATAGATTCTATGGTTTTGTAGAAGATACTTAATATTTGTATAATTTTATTTACAGTCAAAAATCTGTCATAGAGCTTCTTTAAACTAAAAGATCTGACTTTTTCTTAGATTATTTTTTTTCTCAATTATAATGCCCAATGGGCTTTACTGGAATTACTGGAATTACTTGACTGTGCATGTTATTTTTTATTTTTTTCTATCATTTTACTGTTACATACTAATTATATTTTGGAAAGAAGTTACAAAAATAAATATTTTCATTAAACACTATTTTCTTATAGCAGCGTATGAATTTACATCTTCCTTCATATTGGCAAAAATGTCATTCAAAAAGATAGCAATTCATTCATAAAAGTCATGGCATCATTTAAAGCACATGACTTTTGTAGGACAGGTTTTTTCTAGCACCAATGTAAACAGTAGATAATCCTGTTTGATATGCAAGAAATTTTGTTACATTACTGATTCAGAAGAAGTTGAATTATATTCTAGATACCCTGTAAGAAAGGCTACCGCTGTAATAGTGGCAGCTGTGAAGAACTTCTTCCGTGAAGTTCAAGAAAGCACTGTGACGGATATATACTTGTGTGACATGAAGTCAAATACAGTTGAAGCATTCAATGAAGCTATGAGCAATGAATTTGGTGCAACGAATGTGAAGAAATATGTTGACAATCTGGATTCAATAAGGCAACCATCTAAGAGATTTTCAAGTGAGTGAGATTTCAAAGTTTACTGTATAAGTGATTAAGTTAGCGACGTAGAAATATTGGAAAATTTCGAAAATTGATGAAAATTACTGAAATATCCCCAAGCATTTTTATCAATCAACCTGTCAATAAATTCGACCCATATATATGTTTCATATTATCACTCAAATCATTTGTGAGAAGGTTCAATACTCTTGCAAGACTATTTCCAGAATTATGTCCCCCTTGAACTTAGATTTTTTTTCGAGAAATTGGTATTTTTTACTCCAACTTCTTCATTCCTTATAGGATTTACTTTAAAATCCCACATCGTAATAATATGACAATGTTGTATAAACATAATTTCCTTACTAGGCAGGGAAACTTAACACATTACTGTGATATAGACAAACTTAGAACTCAAAAGATTTAAGTTCATTCATGTCATTCATTCACTGGTAAAATTGAATGGCGAATGGCCCATCAGAATGTTTCTCAGTATTACCTTCCTTGAACTTAGAATTTTTATGGAAAAAAAATGTTGTCTTTATTAAATAACTTCTTTATTTCCTAATGTATCTACTTCAAACTGCATATATATGTTTCTTATTATCACTCAACATTTTTGAGAATGTTGAGAAGGTTCAATACTCTTGCAAGACCATTTCCAGAATTATGTCCCCCTTGAACTTAGATTTTTTTTTCGAGAAATTGGTATTTTTTACTCCAACTTCTTCATTCCTTATAGGATTTACTTTAAAATCCCACATCATAATAATATGACAAGGTTTATAAATCTAGCATCCATTATTCCAGAATTATCTCCTCCTTAAACTTTAAATTTTTCCTATTCATTCTTTCAACTTTCTTTTACTTCAAATTCAAAATAAACATTCATTATCAACAGCTTCAATACTAATTGTTCTTTGTTACATTCACATCATGTGTGATGTCTTGCATCTTTATTTCAAGAGTTATCTCCTCTTTATAAGAATTTCGCTTCTAAAAATGTTATACTTTGGTAACGGGGATGTTTCAAAAATTTATTTTAGAGTGTCCTTCAGTCCGTCTGTCTGTTCATAAAAACTGTTTTTTGTGATCACTTATAAAGAACTTTTCCAACAAATTTACTTAAGATAGACAAAAATTGAAACACTAGTGAATGGCCAATGACCCTTCAGAATGTTGCTGGGGTTTTAACCGGTATGGGACTTATGGATTGCTTGCAATACTATGATAATTGTTTGTTGACATGGTTGTAGGTGCTGTTTGAAGTGTGAAAAATATATTCTTTTGTTCATTCCACAATATTTTACTTTTAATGCATTTTTAGCTCACCTGTCACAAAGTGACAGGGTGAGCTTTTGTGATCGCTTTTCGTCCGGCGTCCGTCCGTAAACTTTTACTTTAAATGACATCTCCTCATAAACCACTGAGCCAATTTCATCCGAACTTCACAGGAATGTTCCTTTGGTGGTCACCTTTAAAAATTGTTCAAAGAATTTAATTCCATGCAGAACTCTGGTTGCCATGGCAACCGAAAGAAAAAACTTTAAATATCTTCTTTTAAAAAACCATAAGAGCTAGAGCTTAGATATTTGGCATGAAACATCTTCTAGTGAGTGTCTACCAAGTTTGTTCAAATAAAAGCCCTGGGGTCAAAATTGTCCCCGCCCCGGGGGGTCATTGATTTTCCCTATATGCATATAGTAAAAACTTAAAAAATCTTCTTTTAAAGAACTCAAAGAGCTAGAGCTAAGATATTTAGCATGAAACATGTTCTAATGGGTCTCTACCAAGTTTGTTCAAATAAAAGCCCTTGGGTCAAAATTGGCCCCGCCCCGGGGGGTCATTGATTTTCCCTATATGCATATAGTAAAAACTTAAAAAATCTTCTTTTAAAGAACCAAAAGAGTAAGAGCTAAGATATTTAGCATAAAACATGTTCTAATAAGTGTCTACCAAGTTTGTTCAAATAAAAGCCCTGGGGTAAAAATTGGCCCCGCTCCGGGGGGTCATTGATTTTCCCTATATGCATATAGTAAAAACTTAAAAAATTCTTCTTTTAAAGAACTCAAAGAGCTATGGCTAAGATATTTAGCATCAAACATGTTCTAATAGGTGTCTACAAAGTTTGTTCAAATAAAAGCCCTGGGGTCAAAATTGGCACCGCCCCGGGGGTCATTGATTTTCCTTATATGTGTATAGCAAAAACTTAAAAAATCTTCTTTGAAAAAAACCCAAATAGCTAGAGTTAAGATATTAAGCATGAAACATGTTTTAGTGAGTGTCTACAAAGTTTGTTCAAATAAAAGACCTGGGGTCAAAATTGGCCCCGCCCCGGGGGTCATTGATTTTCTTTATATGTGTATAGTAAAAACTTAAAATCTTCTTTGAAAAAACCGGAATAGCTAGAGTTTAGATATTAAGCATGAAACATCTTCTAGTAAGTGTCTACAAAGTTTGTTCAAATAAAAGCCCTGTGGTCAAAACTGGCCCAGCCCCAGGGGTGTCATTGTTTTTAACTATATGTGTATAGTAAAAACTTTAAAAAAATCTTCTTTTTAAAAGCCAAATGAGCTAGAGCTTAGATGTTTAGCATGAAACATCTTCTTATGGATGTCTACCAAGTTTGTGCAAATAAAAGCCCTTGGGTTAAATTGGCCTTGCAACGTTGGGGGGGAGGGGGTGGGGGTTGGCGGGGCCTATATACAGGTGAGCGACCACAGGGCCATCATGGCCCTCTTGTTCTAAATTTTCATGAAAATTAGCACGAATCTGGAGGCGTGCTGCTTTAAAACTATTGTCTTGAATGTTTGTTTTGTGACTAGCAGGAGCTGACTCGGATGATGAAAATCCCTATATAAAACCAATGGACACAGACGAAGAGGATGATGACTACTACCAAAGCTCAAGTAATTTAGCGCCACCTAGTGGTAATTATATTGAATTTAACTCACTATAGTGTTGGAGCAGACCCTCTCAACGCTTGCAGAAATAATAATCACAACTTAGAAAAATATTACTTTTTAGCTGATTCTTGAATTTTTCTTTAATTATCATATATCAATCAGTGTGAAGAGATAGATAATTAATAAGATGTTGTGAAGTGTATATGGGCCATTTAAAATGCAAGATTTTAGCATTTAGTAGTTCAAGCGACTTTTTTGGTATATACCGGAATATGGTATTTAGTGTTGTGCTCCAACACTTTTTAGTCCTCACTCAATAATTTTGTATATGCTTATAAAACCTTAATTTGTTGACTTAATGTAATAGATTTACTCTGTTTTGAATTTGGAACTAACCTTAATTACTTGACTTTTTGTGTAATACATTTACTGTTTTTAATTTGGAACTAACCTAAATGTCTTGAATTTGTGTAATAGATTTGCTGTGTCTTAAATTTGGTACTTACCTTTATTTCTTGAATTTATTTTATGGATCTTTTGAATATGGATCGTAAGGGATGCAAAAGTTGAGCTACCTACAGTATAGAGCCTGATCAGTACACTTTCAATAGTTCAGGAAGAAATTGACGACCGGAAAATATTTCAAATTATAACCTTCAAGATTTTTAATTTTTGTGGTCACTATACAACATGCTTATTAATAAGTCAAATAGATGGGTTTAAAAAATATACATGCATGTATTATTTATTTACCCTGTGTACTTACAGATACTTTGCTTACTTTCAGGAAAAGCACCACCTTTGCCAAAGGGTAGACCACCACAAAAAACAACTACAATAGGAAATATTTCCGTATGTGTGGTAAAGGGAGAAATTGCGAAACAAAAAGTAATTAAACTTTTGTTTATTTCGTTTAATGCATGTACATGTGTAATAACCACATTTGTGGCTAGCCTGAGTACCTTATTATGCCCCCACTTCGAAGAAGAGGGGGTATTTTGCTTTGCACTTGTCGGTCCGTCGGTCCGTAGACCAAATGGTTTCCGAGTGATAACTAAAGAAACCTTAGGCCTAGGAACTTCAAACTTGGTATGGTGATTGGTCATGACCAGTAGATGACCCCTATCGATTTTGGGGTCAAGGGATCAAAGGTCAAGGTCACATTGACCTTGTAGAAGAAAACGGTTTCCGTTCAATAAATAAAGAACGCTTAGGCCTAGGTACTTCAAACTTGGTATGATGATTAGTCATGACCAGCAGATGACCCCTATTGATTTTGGGGTCAAGGGGTCAAAGGTCAAGGTCACATTGACCTTGTAGGTAAAAACTGTTTCCGATCAATAACTTAAGAACGCTTAGGCCTAGGAACTTCAAACTTGGTATGATGATTGGTCATGACCAGCAGATGACCCCTATTGATTTAGGGGTCAAAGTTCAAGGTCACATTGATCTTGTAGGTAAAAACGGTTTCCGATCAATAACTAAAGAACTCTTAGGCCTAGAGACTTCAAACTTGGTATGATGATTGGTCATGACCAGCAGATGACCCCTATTGATATTGGGGTCAAGGGGGAAGGTCAAGGTCACATTGACCTTGTAGATAAAAACGGTTTCTGATCAATAACTAAAGAACACTTAGGCCTAGGAATTTCAAACTTGGTATGATGATTGGTCATGACCAGCAGATGACCCCTATTGATTTTGGGGTCAAAGGTTAAGGTCACATTGACCTTGTAGGTTAAAACGGTTTTCGATCAATAACTAAAGAACCCTTAGTCCTAGGAACTTCAAACTTGGTATGATGATTGGTCATGACCAGCAGATGACCCCTATTGATTTTGGGGTCAAGGGGTCAAAGGTCAAGGTCACATTGACCTTGTAGGTAAAAACGGTTTCCAATCAATAACTAAAGAACCCTTAGACCTAGAAACTTCAAACTTGGTATGATGATTGGTCATGACCAGTAGATGACCCCTATTGATTTCGGGGTCAAGGGGTCAATGTCATAGCGACCTTGTACTTAATGACCGTTTCTGACCAATAACTCGACAACTCAAGTTGCCTTGGTTGATATTTTTATGTGCTTTGTGTATACACATTTGAAGGTCTTATGACTGTAATAATTTAACTTGGCTGTCATTAATGAGGCCTATGTGATTCATAAAATTTATGTATATATTATTTGGTAAGATTTTTAATAACTTTTATTGCTGCACACAACCTATGGGGTCACAATAATTATTTCCTTGTGACTAGACATGACCAGTAGATACTAGATAACCCTTATTAATTGCTTGTTCACTGGGTCAGAAGTCATGCATAATAACCTGATCACATGACAAATTGGCTGCCGATAGGGGGCATACATGTTATACAAACATATCTTGTTGTTATGAAGTTTTTGTGACTGTTTGATAGAAGTAAGTCTACTCTATGGGCGTGATTCAACATTTTCTCATATCTGCATAATTTCATTATGATTTGATGTAGAGCAAACTTGAACTGAGCCTAAACATTCTGTAGGTTTTTCACAAAGAGCTTTGCCCACAAACCAGAGTGCATATATTATTAGTTATAAAGATTTTTGACAGGTTATATTGCCCTTTATAAATGGTTGTTTATAAATATAACCCGAGCTGCTAGGCAAGGGTTTTATAAAAAAAAACGTTATATAGAGCCATATAACCTGTCAGAAATATTTATAACGAATTTATAATACAGCAAGCACCATTTTTAGAGGAATAAAGCGAGATTTCTTTATAAATCGACAGCAGCCGTGTATTTAAAACTATATAAAGGCCACGATTAACAATGAAAAGCGACGTTACAAACGTGCAGTATTATTATTTGCTTTCTAAAGATAGTTTGTAGATTTTATTTTTTCATTTTACTTGAATAAAACCTTCACAAGACTTAATCAGTAGAAGGAATTTCTTCTTGCAAGCAATAACCTGAATTAAAAAAGAACAAAACAAAAAAACAAAATTCTTGTCATAAAGTGTATAAAGATTTATATCTGCTTTCTGTATGTAAAAAAATATTTAATTTTACTTTTAACGAAGAAAAATGCTCAAAAACTTGTTATTGATAGAAATAAGTTTGTAAAGGCATGAAATTGTTGCTGGATGGTAAAAACTACTTAAAATAGCAACATTATGATTTGTTCTGGAACATATTCTGTTTACATACAATATTCATGTGTGACCTAATATGTTACAACTGTTTTCGAGAATCAGGTATTTTTCAAGAACTTGCGACCATTGGTTCTTTTTCAAGTTTCTAGAGTTAATTTAAGAACTTTTTGGCAGGAAGAAAACATGTTTTTGTTTCAAAAGTAAAATCTAGTTGAAAATTGATGTTGTTTTAAAAGCACCTCTATCCTTAAAGGTTGATGTAATAGTGAACACTACAGCTAAAAATCTGGATTTGAAGAATGGCGCTGTTTCTGCCTCCTTATTGAAAACTGGTGGTATGGAACTGCAGCAAGAAGTGTCCAAGAAGTATCCGAATGGTATAAAGGATGGTGAAATAGCTGTAACTTCTGGTCAGAGTCTTAAGTGTGATATTGTTGTACATAGTTCTTTGGCAAACTGGGACGGGAAAAAAGATACTCAATGTAAACAGGTATGCCCGTTAAAGGGTTTGTTTCTTTTTGCTCGAAAGAACTTGTGAACTGTTTTGTTTTGTGTTTTGTTTTTTGTTGTTTTTTTTTATCAGATGTTCAAAAACAAAATTATTCCCTTCAGAAGGACGTCCGGAAGTCTTTCATCTTGGAAAATAATTTCAAGTTAACAACACATTGGCGCACTTGAAATACAAGAGGTTCTAAATTAAGTTCTATTTGAAAGTCAAAATAGCACGGCTATGAAAATTTTTAGAAAAAAAAATTTAAAACTTTCAAAACATCAATAAAAAGGAATGGTGTACAAATTCATGCTAAGAATAATTGACGAACTATATTTGGTAACACTAGGTTTACCAATGGGAAAGTAGGTCAAATCTGATCTTTAACATCTTAGAGGGTTACTAGTGAAAATAATTAGATGTTGGCAGGTATCGTGAGTATCCAAACCATTTTATGACTTGTTTATTTTGAGATAATAAAAATCCTATTTTGTTGTGCAGGCATTACATAAACTTATGAAAGACTGCATGGACGAGGCCGAGAATCAAGGCAAGACCAGTATAGCTTTTCCAGCCATTGGTACAGGTAACCTCGGATTTCCGCGTGACATCGTAGCAACTGAGATGTTTTCAGCTGTGTCAAAGTTTTCCAATAGTAACCCTTCATCTAGTCTGCGTGAAGTCAGTTTCATAGTTTATCAAAAAGATTTTCAAACTATTCAGGTAGTTATATTAGAAATCTACTTTCAATCTTGATTTATTATATTTTTGCTCAAGAAGGAAGAGATTCCAATTTTGTTCTTTATTTGTTATAGGAAAACAAACAATTTAAGTTGTGAAGTATATTTAGGAATTATTATATAGTTATTTTGATCCAGTTATTCTTGTATTTTGTATAGTTATTTATCAAATTTTTTATAGTGGGACATTGGTGGTTGAGTGACGTCAAATCACTTTCCCACAGGAACTTTGAAATATTTCATGTGAGGAAGCTATCCAGCTAGCTAACAGAATGTTGGTGGTTCTACTTAGGTGCCCATTCATACCTGAAATAATGCATGGAAGGGCACTAGGTCTTCCTCCTACAGTAAAGCAGGAAAGTTGCCATATGACCTATACTGTGTTGGTGTGGCATGAAACCCAACAAAATAAATAAATAGAAATATCAATTTTATTCAAAAAAAGGTTTGTTTCCTTGCAAATCAGTAATCTTGTGACTGTTTGCACAGTATTAATTTAGCCTGATATGATCATATTCATAAAGCAATAAAAAAATCAGGATCATTTGATTCAGATACATGTATCTTTTTTTGTGAACACACAGCCAGATGTTCAACACCACCTACTTATACTTTGCAGTTTTTAAGAAAAATAATGAAATATGAATTGGGAAATGAGCTTTAAAAATCAACATGTACCAGTTACTATCTAAGTAACTTTACAAATGTATATAGAAAACCATATACCAAAAAAAAATAGAAAACCATATACCAAAAAAAATAAAAAATTGTCAGTGAGTATATCAGTCACAGTGTAAGCGATACACATGAACTATGAGTGATATGGGTTTTATTTCACAAAACATTTCACTAGTTAGGATCAAATCAGTTGTGTTTCAATGGTTTTTAGGCTTTTGAAAATGCGGCGAGAATATGGTCAACAGGGAAAAGGGGCGCAACTGGAGGTAGAGAAGGCAGGCAATATGATCTGTACGAAGATTTACAAGGTAGATTCCGTAGGTTATTTTTGAAAATTTTATTGCTTTAATGTTTGTTTAATGTCTCACCTCCCTTTTATATGTTTTACTTTAAGTAAAAACTTCCCAATTTGCATGGTATGGGTTGTTCATCTAGGATTGTGAATTTCTTTTTATATATATATTTTTTACGCAAATCAGTGCTAATCAGAATATGGTCCTGACAAGAGCTGTATCAGTCTGTTCCTATTAAACATGTTATTATAAAAATATGTTGCAATCTTGTCCTAATGCGCTGGGTAATTGTGCATGCTCACTGAGCCATGCTTGCTGCTAAAATTGAAATGGCTGCATCAACATTCATAAATGACTATCATTCTTTTCTTTTTTTCAAATTTGACAATTGTCTGTTCATAAGCAGTCTCGTCTTTAGCTCACTTTCCTAGACACCATTTTCTCAAGGTGACCTTCTGCTATTATCCTGTATCCAGCTTGCAAGTGTAACCAAATATTTCTTTTAAAATCATTTATCTATATCAGTGGTTGAGTTACAATCAAACTTGGAATTAAAATATTTTCTACAGTTGCTTTAAAAGTAAATTCCATTCAGAAATCAAAGCAACAATTTTTGAAAAAAGAAATAAAACTTATGAAATAAATATAACAGATTTTTCAACCACGGCCTCTGTGGCCCATTTTGTTTTGCTGATATACAGATGGATATACAGAGTAAAAACAAAACATGTTAGATTTTAAACATTTCATCACATATAATTTATTAATATATGCAGCTCTTTCACAAAATGAAATTACTTGCAATATTCTTTCATGGGTAGAAGAACATCATTGTCCTCATGCTTTCATTTATCTATATGCTTGTTTTAGATGTTATTTTGCAATATTCTTTAAAATTAAGAAAAAGACTTTCATTGTCCACATTTCTTTGTATGTCTATTTCGTGTCTTGTATGTTTCTGCAAAAGAAAGTGTATCTCTCAACGTAGACATTTTGTGTTTTATTTTAACTTATGTTTAACCAGTACCTGAAAGTCCATGTAGCACACTTTAAAAGTATTATTTCAAAGATCAATGAACTTTTATTTAGAAAAAACTTAAATTAATGCATTAACTCTTAAGCTTGCATTTGTGCCGCCAGATCATGGTCTGCAATGTCCACTATACAGTCGATATTTATTTTTGTATTTTTCCCTTAAGAATAATGAATGGTTTTGCCCGGATTGAAAGATTGGCGTATCTGTTTTGGATATTTAGTGTGGTATTGAGGGTTAAAACTATTGTTGCTGCATTACAACTTGAATGTTTGTTTTGTGACTAGGTGATTCAGATGATAAAAATCCCTATATAAAACCAATGGACACAGATGAAGAGGATGATGACTTCTACCAAAGCTCAAGTAATTAAGCGCCACCTAATAATATTGGATTTAACTCACTAAAGTGTTGGAGCAGAACCTCTAGACGCTTGCAGAAATCATTATCACAAAGTAGAAATATATTGTTTTATTTGCTGATTTTTATTTTTTTCTTTTATGCTCATAATTATATAAATAGCTGTAAAGTGATTAACAAGACGTTGTAATGTGCATTTTGGCGGATGAAAAGGCTAGAGTTTAAAATGTAATAATTCAAGCGCCTTGCCCATGATGTCTGGTATATACCGGAATAAAGTATTTGGTGTTGTGCTCCAACACTTTTAAGTTTTACTTAATATTTTTTGTATATGATAAAAAACCTTAATTTAATCAATTTGTGTAATGAATTTGTGTAATGAGTTTGCTCTGTTTTGAATTTGGAACAAACCTTAATTTCTTAACTTTCTGTAAAAGATTAACTCTGTTTTGAATTTTAAGCTCTCCATTGGAATATTAAGGAATTTGAAAATCAAAGTATGAAACTTTGAGCTTTCAATAGTTAAGAAAATATAGAGCATGTTCAGTGCAGTATAGAGCATGCTCAGTGAAGTACAGAGTCTGGTAATTTAAGTATAGACCCTGGTCAGTGTAGTATAGAGCCTGGTCAGTGTAGTATAGAACCTGGTCAGTGTAGTATAGAACCTGGTTAGTGAAGTATTGAGCCTGGTCATTGTAGTATAGAAGCCTGGACAGTTTAGTATAGAACCTGGTTAGTGAAGTATAGAGCCTGGTCAGTGTAGTATACAGCCTGGTCAGTGTAGTATATATAGCCTGGTCATAGTAGTATGTATAGAGACTGGTCGGGGTCTTTCAAATAGAATGGTCTTAAAACGCGCTATGTAAATCCTTCTCGCAACAATTAAACATGTGTCCATATAACTCGGTACAGTTGCTATACGCAAATTATGTAAGTGTTCAAAAAGGTCGAAAATTAAAAACAGTAGCAAAATTAAAAATTCTAACAACGTCATGTTTTTTAAAACCTTTAAACTTGTGAAAAAAGATTCATATTTCAGAAAAAAATGTTTTTTAAGCCATGATCTGTTGAAAAACGTAGATTGCTTTTTCAGATTTTTTTGCTGACAAACGGCGCCAATTTGAAAATGCACCAAATTAAACATAAAATATTTGTAAATAACATCGTGAAATATTATAACATCTTAACATGATAATATTTGATAACATTTTTTCCTTGTAAAATCAATTTCTATTTTTTCATTGAACAATGCATCAGTTCAAAAAAACTTCTGAAACTCGGACCTATTTTCAAAGATTAGCAATAGACTTTTATCTTGAACTGGAAACAAAAAATACTAATTTCACTGCAAATCTATAAAATTTATACTTTTTAAAGTAAAAACTGGTAATTTAATGTAGCCAACATTAGTTTTCAGTATATTTTTTATCAATTTAACAAAACATTATCTTTTAATTTGATTTTAGAACCGCGATGTACTATGCTAGATCAAGCTCGGTACATAACCTAATCATGTGACTCAGCTGAGACATCCTTTTTCGTAAAATTGGTCTGACTCCATACCATTCTATTTGAAAGATCCTGGTTGAGTATAAAGCCTGTGAAATATAGAGTATGGACAATAAAGTATAGAGCCTTATCAGTGAAATATACATCCTAATCAGTCAGAGTTAGTATATAGCCTTGTCAGTGCAGTAAAGATCTTGGTCAGTGCATTATAGAGCTTGTGTAGTGAAGTTAATAGAGCATTGACATGTGAAGTGAAGATGATGGTCACTACAATATAGCCCTTGGTCTGTGAAGTATACACCCTGGCCAGTACGGTATATAGCCTGGTCATTGACGTATAAAGCCTGGTTAGTAAGTATATAGTCTGGTCAGTGCAGCATGGAGCCTTGTCGATCAATGAAGGCTAACCTGGCTCCGTACTGGTAGCAAAGGCTTGTATCTTTTCTCATTTTCAATTTCAATGATAGAGTATGTTTTATAAGTGGAAAACAAAATGCATGCTTAATTGTTTTGATAAATTATTTTCTAAAAAGACTGTTAATGTGTTTCCTGTAAGATATCACATACAGTATAACATTTTCTTACCAACACATGATCATGAAAATATTCGCAGCAAATCAACATATCAGGTCCCGATTGTTTCATACTAATGTGAAATTATGCCCACCCAAGTGTAATTGATGAGTTCACAGGTAAAGTAAAATAACTTTACATTTGCCAAAATTGTGTTTAATTTTATGTTATTCTGCGCAAATATAATTTATAATCCATGAAGATTTCTATAAATATCGGTCGGAATAATGGGAAATGTTCAATTGTTTTAAATGAGTGAGACGATTGTTTTATAATATCAGTAATTGCTAAGCAGTTTTCATTATCAGTAATTTGTCAGTAGACAAAATAGTTAGTTTTCAGTAAGTGAAGTTTGTCCCAGGGATCCATATGAATACTATATTGAACATAAACTTACAGATATTAAGATTATGGTATAATTAATGTACATTAAAGACATTTACCTTGTTTTCTGTCGGATTTTTACCTATTTTACAATCAGATATTTACTTATTACATGATATATTGTACAGGAAATAAACCAAGCAAAAGGGAAATGTCTTGTGGGAAATGTTTGTATACAAATAACTTCTAGTTTACAGCATTATTAATTATATTTCAAACATTAATACAGTTGCATTTGTAGAACGTATCCTATTGAATAAATTTATTCAATTTATCCATCTAATGATCACTATAATTTGGAAAAGTTGTGATTCCCCCAACACTTGTTTTTGTTTGAGAAATTTTGTTTAAAAAGTGACCACTTTTTCGGCGCCGCCCCATATTTAAAAGATACATAAAGGGGTTTCCAGAAGGGGATGTGTCCCCTTCTGATTGGGGGTTTCCCTCTCATCGCCAAGAAAATGTTTGAATTGTGAGCGGCTAAAAATGACCCTTGGTCAATTATAAGGTAACTTGTAACAAACGCTGAAAAGCCTTTGACTCTATCCCAATTCATTAAGAAGTTGCAGCACTTTGAAATCAATTTTGATGGAAAAAATCAACGCAAAATAGTGATTTTTTGGCACTTTTGAGATGTCCCCTCGTTGCCATGATAACAGGAAATTTAAGACTGATCATGTTTTCACCAAAACAACGGTCCAGTCAATATTTGTGCCAAATTTGATTGGTATTAAACAGTTTTTATAGCTTTATATCAACTTGAACTTGTAACGGGAGACTTTTCAATGAAAACAGCCATTTTTCACAAAATGCTCATGAGGTAATGGGTTAAATTACAAGATATATATTTGTAGTGAAGACTGTTCTTTTGATAGTTTCTCACAGTATATAAGCTTTTAATTAGAACATTAATTTCTGTATTTTTCCTCGTCATGATTTTTATTTACAATATGTTTATGATGGAAATTAATATATCACACACATTATCTGCAACATCATTTATAGTTTAATAATAAAGTTAACCAAAATTTTGGCTTAAGAAATACTATGCTTATCTTTGATTAAAATACTTTTATGGCAGAAATTTATTGAAATACATGTATTTAAAAAGAATGTACAAACTATGTATGGGAAGCTGCAAGTATAATTTTCATTTAAAAACTGCCATTTTTTACCTCAACTTTTTCTTTCAAAGAAAAAAATTTTAACAAAAAAAAAATATTTTCCGATTATTACCTATGTAACAAGTTCATATTAAAGATATTTCAATTGTTTAATCAGGTTTGAATAAAGTAATATAACATTTGATTGTGCTTTCTTATGAAACAAAAACAATCAAGACTTACTTTTAAAAAAGAACAAAAATTAGAAATAACATTAAGAATTGTGAAACTCGGAAAGCTGAGCTTGCCTGTAAACAATCGTGTATCTGTAATGGTTTCAGTGATGTCAAAGTTGTTTTGATTTTTTAGTAAATAAATGTACTCAGTGCATTAAATAGAGATAAGCTTGCTTGTAAATTTTCAAATGATATCACAGATAGACCAGTGTTAATGTAAATAAAAGTAGACTTCAAAACATTTTTTTAATAAAAATGGGCATAACTTCTGACTAAATGTCATAGAAGAGTTGTAGAACTTTGCCTCCTGTGCTTGCTTGTTAGAATCCATATACGAGGGTTGATCAATATATTCATGGACGCTACTAATAACTTAATAATTTATCAAGATATTATAACGAATTTTCGCTATTCAGGAGAAGAATTTAATGCTATTACAAATATTTTGTGCTTTTCAAAAAAAATCTCATTTTGTTGAGTTTATGTATCGCCAAAGCAACCCTATGCCGTACGAACGCCAGACATGGGGTAATCGTAATCGGTAATTTAATTTAATTTAATCGATTACAATTTTTTGAGTAATCACAGTAATCAGTAATCATAATTTTTTTTCTGTAATTTAATCATAATTTAATCAATTACATGACCAATTAATTAGTAATCACCATGATTACATGTATGATTACAATACATGTTAAGCTAAAAAAAATTGCTGAACAAACATACATTTAAAGGTTAAAAAAGTACCAGTGTCAATGCCTACTAATTGTCTTAGGTAGTGTAGGTGGATTAAATGCAGTCACCCAGGTCAGATTTGATGACACCTGTGTTTTAATAAGGTGATGAATCACTGACAGATTGACCCAATACATAAATGATTGTTTAGCTGGATTATTTTTTTTTTGTACATTTGTTGTATTGAAATGTTCAATAAAACGACAGTGTTGAACCATTGCATATCTTAACTTATGTACATGTAATCAGTAATCATAAATGTAATATCTGATTTCTCCTGTCAGTAATCAGTAATTTAATCAATTACAATGTCTAAATGGAGTAATCAGTAATTTAATTTAGTCAAGCATTTTGACAAATAATCATAATTTAATCGATTACAATTTTCAAGTAATCGCCCCATGTCTGACGAACGCCGCAGCTTAAAAAGAGATATATTTACCATTTTACAATACTTAAAAATTG